TTATATATATGTCTAGAAACAGTCTCAACATAAAATGTAATTACTTCAAAAGATCTTTTATCTATTATCAAATACAAGTACACTTTTTCGACTATGGAATACAACCATCAAAACAAAAAAACCCACCACCCAAAAAAAAGATCATAAAACACAAATATACTCCAAACCTTATAAATTATAGAATAGCTTCAAGGTAGGGGCATCAATAAAATAACCAACAGTGTTTGTTGGTTTTTTTTTAATGTATTGATTTTTTTCTTTTCTTTAGAAAAACAAAAAATAAGCCAAGATAAACAAAAACGCTCACCCCAAAACCACATACACAACAAAGTTGAGACCACCACCCAAACAACCAAACAAAAATATAAATATTGATGACCCCAGGCTAGATCTAATTATTGGTACAACCCACCTAGCACAACCACAAAATAAATTAAGATCAGAATAAAGTAGGGTAGATGAAAAAAAAACCCACCCACATAAGCATATCAATCATTCAAAAACATATAAAAAACAGCGGAATCTTATAAACAGTAGACAACACCACAATATATATAAGATAGAGCCGGATAGTCTTCTTGACTTAGTGTTAACGTGATGCTTTTACAGGAATGAGTTCCAGCTTCGAGAATGTTCATCATTCGATGGACGAAAGCTCAGCCCGTTTTCACCCGAAGCGAGGGAGGATGTCTCGTGGACCGTGTCAACTTGGACATCATACAAAAGTCAAGAGGTGCAGTACAAGAGGATTAAGCCGTCCTCATCTGGTGAGATCAACCAACGAATCTCTTCTACATGCCCTTTCATACGAAATGAAAGTCTCTCCTACAATATCATATCAAGAGATTAGTCAACATTCAGTTACTCTTCCTATCCACAATATCTTCGCCTTCATACCTGCATTCATAATCACTCAATCGTTCTGCCAAGTTCAGCAAATTTGTCAGATATATTGGATTGCACAATCGCTGGCATGCTTTTCCTTGAGTCACTAGTTTTTGATGAAACTGGGCTGATGAGTTCTGAATGCAAACTGCACACACACACACACACACACACACACACAAGCGTAACAGTATCGAGATTGGCATAAAAATGACATCAACCATATCAGTCTCCTTTCGTTGTATCGAGGTTGCTTGACCCTGTTTTCGCAACTTGGTCATATTGGCAGAAAGACTTAGAGGAACGCACCCAGTCCGGAGTCCATTGTATGCATCATCATTTCCAGAGTAGGACCGTGCACGTGGTACATTCGCAGACGTTTCGCCGGCATCCTAGTCGGCGAGTATCGCCATTCTTGGCACGACACAACAACAAAGAGACTTGTCTTTTTGGCGAGTTGTTGTGTGGTGTCAAGAATGGCGAGACGCACTGACGATGCCGGTGAAACGTCTGGGAAAGTACCACGTCGACGGTTCTACTCTGGAAATGATGATGTACACAATGGACTGCGGACTAGCTGCGTGTCTCTAAGTCTACCTGCCAAAATGACCAAGTTGCGAAAACAAGGTCAAACAACCTCTATTAAGTATCTTGCTTGTGAGTATACATAGAATGTAGAAGTAGCAGAATAGCAGAATGTTAGCTTGAAGCTTTTGTAAGAATCGGTTTTAGCTCGGACGACGCCTATCGGAGTGTTTTTCACTCGATCTCTTGTCGATTGCGCCGACCCGAAGATCGGTCTGTTAGACGCAAACGACGCTGTCTTCTGGCAACAACGTCGCATGCATCATTTCGTCGGGCCACTTCACCCAAACTGAAAGTGGCAACTACCGAAAAACACCGAAACCCAATTGCGCCTCGCAGGCCGGTCTGCCGAGCGGGTTGAACTGGGCCGGCTGCCTCTAGTTTTGACAGTGAAGATGAAAATCGTCACCTCGGCAGCATTATCTGCATGTGTAGCTGCATTTGTCTGTGTGTAAGGTTACGTGTTTATATCTACATCCTCCCGTGTGTATGTAGATGGTCCAGCGTGCGTTTATGTATGTGTGTCTGACTGGACGCACTTATTTGTGCGTGTGTAGGTGTCCTTGTGTGTGCGTGTGTATTTGTATATGTGACTAGGTGCGTTTGGTGGGTTATGCCTGTGTGTTTTTAAATGTGTCTTTTGTGTGTGTGTGTGTGTGTATGTGGGAAGGGGATGGCATTTGCATTGGCTGACGTTGGTTCGGCGAGACGGTCGACCGGAAGGTCATGGAGGCGGCTCTTCACGCCACTGACCGCAGTCGGCTGGCGCATTGCTGGCCTTTTGAGGGTAGACGAGATCGCAGCTCGTGCCAGTGAAGCTGGCAGGCCCCGTGGCTCGTAGTGGAGAGTTGGCGAGCGCGCCGGCCAGCCCGGGCACTATCGAGGCTGGCACGCGCATTGGACGAGACAGCCGGTGGCTGCGTGGGCGACTGCGCACCTGCCGCGTGAGGAGCGCGGCTGACCGGCTGACCGGCTGCCAGAGCCCATTCATCCACGCGGTCGGCCAGCCGGTCCGTTTCAGTCATAGTCGAAGCGGCGAGCGACACCGAGAGCGACATGCCTCGCCGCCTATTCTCGCCCGTCCTCTCGTCTTTCCCATATTTAGCCGCAATTTTGTCGCACGTCTCCCGCTCTATCCGATTGCGCCTCTGTGTCTGGCATCATCCCACTACAACAGTCCAGTACACTTTAGGTTGGATCGATAACGCTGGTATGCAGCTGCGTTTCTATTGGTCGGTTCACCGCTCCGGTCATCGGAGTCGAGGCTTGTCCACACGGAAAGGGCCGCGTCGTAGAAATAAAGGAAAAATAGGTCCTTCTAAAACTTTGCGAATGCGTGTTCGCTTTAAGGTGCTCCCCCTTCGTTTCTCCGGTGAGACGAATTCACGAATTCCTTCCAACCACCTCGTCTAAGATGGAAAATCACCGCGCAACACTTCTTCGTGTCGGTTTGAGGAGGAGGGGGATTGTGAAGATTTCATTTCGTTTGACGAGGCGTGTGCAAGGCATTCATTAATCGGTATCATCATAAGCGAAGTATTCTTTAGCCCACCCTCTCGTGACCCCTTATAAAGTGAAGATAGGCATTTCTAGAACAGGATACCAGACTTTACGACAGTTCGCCAAGCACGAAGAGAGGAAGGCTGGTCTATTGCGACTTATCGCATTCGAAGAGTGCCTGCACTAAAAGCACAGCCTCGTAGGAATAAAGAAAAACTGACCTCCTAAGATGCGTTTAAACATTTATTGTTGCGTGACCTTTCAGTTTGATGGGATTCGTGGATTGTTTTCACCGGAAAACGAACGAAGCTTGCCTTTGCCTTCATTCAAAGGCAATCCTGTATCGTCTTCAGGTGAGACCATTTCACGAATTCCTTCCAACCGATTTATTACTCAAAGTTAACAGCCATGTTACAGTAAATTGGTCTCACCGGAAGTCGAAGAAGGATTGCATAAAGCTGTGAATGTGAATAGGTTCGCATCCTAACTTCCCGTGACTCCAACGCCTCTGTGGCAGACATCTTGAGAACATAAAACGAAAGTTCAACAGGTGCTGAGACGAGAAAGATGATCCAGTGTGCTCATACAGAAAGTACCGCTTCGTAACAACGAAGAAGAATCAGGCTTATAAGACTCCCTTAGTTACTTGTTGTGAATTAATTGTTCATGTTTGAAGCCATTCGTTAATCGGTCTCACCGGAAAGCAAGAGAGGGCCGCTTTCGTTTCGGCTCCAGGCATTTCTGTTCCGTTTTCCGGTAAGACTAAGCCATAAATTCCCTCCAACCAACGTTTTCGTCGACACAAAAAGTCGACTGTAACTGAGCCTCACCGGAAGCCGAAAGAAGATTGAATGCGAACAAGTCCTTGTTGCATCTTTCTGCGAACCCCGATTAATCCCTGACGGACGTCTTCATCAGGCCCTAAATCAAGAAGGGTGATTTATAAGAGATGATCATCATTGGAAACTATATCGGCTAGTGGAATAAACTGTGGATGGAGAGAGGCTGAAGAGAAGGCCGAAACTTCTTGGTTTTTCAGTTTATTTAAGGAGAATAACATTTTCATTTGAATTTTGTTATTCTATAGAGTCTGTAAGTGATTTTGCACAAGGTACTATCATGCGAAATGAGCAGCAAACAACGTAAGGATCATGGCAAAAATTGCCTACTCATTGAAGTTAAAAAGATTAATGAGATGTATTCACCCTATTTCGTGTAAGGTGATGAAGGACTGGTAGTAAAATTTTCCCACAATGA